CATAAATAGATGTGCACATGGTACGAAGTGATGACAAATATCATTTTTTTTTAAAAATCCAGACATTATGCTTCAAAATTGGTTCAGGATATATCAGAAGATTGCCTTAAAGTCTGCAAGTGTAATAGCCATCCCTTTCTCACACACATACGTCCAGTCAATTGTGAAATACACTGCCTAGTTTTGCCTGCCTGTTTTAAAGGAGAAAACACAAAGAGCTATTTTGTCTCTGAACATGATTCTGTTCTGATCTTCATGTGAAATTGTGAATAGTAAGTGAAAATAACAGGTAAACATAAGTAAGTTCATTCCTTTTCAATATTGACCCCAGAATATGATGGCAAGTTCACATGAGAGCTGTAGTACAAAATGTATCTTTGTTAAGTACTAGTTTCTACATAGTTCCCAGCTTGCAGTGCACATCCTCTTCTAAGTATGGAAGAAAGAGTGATTGAGTATAAATGGAACAGGTCCACCTGTCAGTGGGCTGTCTTGTTACTCACATTGTAACAGTATCGTAGATCTAAAATGCCTTTTTCCCCTCAGTGCCACTATAAATCAGAAAAGAGCTGTTTTTTATCTGCATGTGTATCTTGCCTATGTGTGTATATGTATAAGTATACATCCACAATGCAGGAAGCACCACTAGAGGCCATCATATACTTATCTAAATAAATGCTAAATTAATGCATTTCCTTCATGGAGAATGCAATCTCTAGCATTGTCAGAACAGTATTATTGCACTGAATAAATAGTTCCCTCTGGTTTGCTGCGGCACAAAATATTTTTTTAACCAGGAAAAGCTTACAATAATCATTACAAACCACAGAAATACTCATCAGCCCACACTTTTAATAGAGATTGTTTAAAAACTGCATTTACTGCTTAGGACGAGATTACATAAAAAACTATGTTGTGACCTAAATAACTTCGATGACATCCATAAGTCAAGTCAATTGTATTAGAGTAGAAATTTCAATTCACCTTCTTGAATTGGACATGCCATGTCATAACTAGTTCCTAGTGAATGGTGATATATGTACTTTTAAACACTCCACTTTGCCTGAACTATTAGAAGTGTGGAATATTTTTTCAAGTATCAGTGGTCATTTTATGTCTGTATTTTTTAAAAATCTGGCTATGCCAATATGGTAAATTTGCTAGGGGAAATACTGTGCTATCAGACTCACTGATAGCATAGCTGCTGACAGCTTTTAGTTTTCTAAAATTTCACTAAAACCTTGCCTATATTTTCTAAACATTTTATTCCACTCTTAAAACTCATCCGGAACAAGAGAAAATGGTGGAAGAGAAGGTTGTTGGGAAGAATTTTATCAAATAAACTCACATATTTTAGTCCTGTTTCCTTCTGCCTCCTCTCACCATGGTTAGAGTGCCTTTTACTGCCCAACAGTAGAAAATCAGAAAATAAAAATAAATTTCATAATACTTCTTTAATTTGAAGGTGCTACTTACTAGATTGGAGATGATAGGAGGAAGATGAAAACTTGCAGAAGTTGACAAGATCCTACTTTCCTGGGTGGAAAATCAGAAGCAAATATAAAGTGGCATTCTGCTTTATTACATCTAGACTCTTTAGCAATCATTTCTAAGAAATCTATCCATTTTAAACTTTGTTGTATAAAATTTAAGAGTTATAGCTGTATATGGAAGGGACTGAAAAAGTCCTACTTTATGAGGGCCTCTTAATATAAATCTGAATGAGCAGCAATAGTCCTGATTTTGTTGGAGATCTACTAGGTTTAATGGCAATCTTCTCTTCCAATCTGCCAACTGTATTCTGGGGAACTGGTGGTTGAATCATTAGAGTATGTGCCTTCATAATGCTGGTAAACATTATTCCTATCTGGAATAATGTTGTATCCATTCATAATTTGGTAAATAAATAAGCAGGCCTGGAATGTATGATCAAAACTTGCTGGTACAGTGGTCTAAGCACCCTGTTATTAACACAGCTGCCTGCAATTTACTGCTGGTTCGAATCTCTCCAAGGCTCAAGGTTGACTCAGCCTTCCATCCTTTCTAAGGTAGGTGAAATGAGGACCCAGTTTGTGGGGGCAATAAGCTGACTTTGTATAAATATACAAAAGTATGAAGGCTATTGCTTAACGCACTGTAAGCCGCCCTGAGTCTCCGGAGAAGGGCGGCATATAAATCAAATTTAAAAAAAACAAAACAAAAAAAACTTCCCTGGACATGGGAAGAAATATCAGAATATCATAAATCTGCCCCTAGGTTTTAAGTCCTACATACTGTAGCCTCAAAAATGAGGAGGAAGTTTGGTAATCGTGACATATTGTCTGTGATCAGAGTTAGTGTTTTCAAAGTGATTAGCATGACTGCTTAGATTGGGCTGTAGGAATAAATAACAAACCCTAAATTCTGCTGAAGATGTTACCTAGCCTGGTAATAAAACATTTGGAAACCAACCCACAAGGTTGGAGAATGAACCTCAACCCTCATCCACCACCCAAGCTACAGATATTCTCCACTATCGCAAATAAACAAGAGGTGATCTTGGCCACCCTGCTGCTCATCTGAATATATTCCTGGCTTCCTAGATCTGATCACCAGGCTGGAAATTTGTCCCCCTTCACTTCTTGGGGATCTTCAGTCTCCATATGGTAGGGGCTAGGTCTAGCAGAATCCAGGAATTCATGCCTCCATGGTAACTATGGGCTTTCTTGGATAATCTCAGGCTCAACACATGCAAGTTGTCACATATTAGGTCTTTCTTTCATTTTGAAACAGATGTTATATGATCTTGGTATGGAAATTATCACAATCAGATTATTTCCTGGTCCAGCTTTGATTGACAGCCATGCAGTTTTCATTGTGATTAACAAATGAACCTGGATGAATAATTCTAATATTTGACACAATGTCTTTGAGCAACAACTTAGCAAACTGATTTCCAAGTTCTGATGCCATGATGCAATGGGTTGCTAAACAGCTTGTACAGCCCTCGCTGGTTTTCCATTCAGCCAAAGTCAAGTGAATCAGTGGGAAAACCCAATAACATTCCATGATACTAGAGTGAAATTTCAACTACCGGTACATTTTTAAAAATAAATAATGGGGAAGTTATTCTTTAAAGAATGGGTTTAACCTGCTTCAAAGCTCTAATACAAGCTAAAATTGTTGGACAGAAAAGACTGAGTACACTCATACTTTTAATGGGCAATTGGAGAATGTTGTGAAATTAAATCTGTACCCTAAGCACTGCTTACTGTTGTGAAGATGAGTCTTTATGGAACAGGCATTAAAAATGATGGCATTATCATTCAACCAGCTTTCACACTAACACGTCTCTCCCTGTCTCTCTCTCTCTCTCTCTTTTTCTCTTTTGCAAATACAATTGTATGCCAGCTGGAAGCATTCTTTTCTAACCTCATTGTATCAGTACTTTCAATATATGGAAGACTGACCATATATTTTAAGAATATATATACACTAATATTGGAAATATTGTCTTCTCTGCACTGGAGTGCATCCTTCAGTTTGAGATAGCATCTGTCAAATGAGTTTTTCTATCAATATAACACTGTTTCAACACTTAATACAAAGCAGAGCAAAGGTGTTCACAGAAGGCAAGGGATGCACATTCATTAAAAGACAGCAGCATTGGGTTCATTTTTATGCCCAGAAGTTCTGTCAGTGGTAGCACTTTCTTCCTTCTTGAGTACTTTGTCACCCATCTCACACTTGGCTTTGGCAATATTTATATGAGCCAAGCTGGTGACAATTACAGGACCACTGCCTTGGCAATGTGAATTAAAGTAGATATCAGAAATCAGAGATTCTTCAGATTTTGACAGGCTTCAATTTACGGTTTCTCACCACTGGCCATGATAAGAAGGTCTGATGAAGGTGGGTAGCCAACAACATCCGGGGGGGAGGAATGTTTTTTCCACCTCAGTATCAAAGTAATATCCAAGTTATATATTCTTCTGTTTCAAGAGCACAACTGCAGAATAAATTAAAAATGCTGAAGTGTTTCTTCTTTTTCTATCCTTGATTCTTGCCAACTCATTAGCAGTGGCAAGTCTCATGAGCTAAGCTTTCTCTTGCGTGTCATCGAAAGATGGTGTGTTCTTCTTCCTCTTCTTTTTTAGTAGCTGCAAACTGCTATTACCTCTGCAAAAATATTGTCCTAGACTTTTGAAATTTGGTTAGAATTCTTTCTTGCCAACAACCTCTCTCAAATTCAGGACAAGAGTACAGATGGGGATACTTCCCCTCTCTGTACAAAAGAAATTCACCTCTCCTGCTTGAAGGAGATATCTACATTTCTGCAACAGCAGGAACTGCAAAGCAGTTAAAATTTCATTTTAAAATCTCCAACTAATTTTCTGCAGATAACTTCTGAAAATACAGTATTTTAGAATCCTCCAGCATTACAGTTAAAAAGGTGAGATTGTAAGGGTAACAGTTATATAAGCAACCATTCCCATTTTAGTGGGAATGATTAGTAGAACTTTGTGGTACAGAGAATGTCCTCTGTTTTTCCACTGTTCAGGCTGTGGTCTTTCATGACAAAAGAATTCATCGTTGTTTAATTCACATTATAAGTGAAAGGAACCAACTGGATGAGCTTGGTTGTCTAGTATTGGAAAAGAAAAGAATTGCAGACTTCAGAAGTTGCGGGTGCACCATAATTGAGGTTTTTAAGAAGAGATTAGACAGCCATTTGTCTGGAATGGTAAAGAGTGTCCTGTTTGGTCAGGGAGTTGGACTAGAACAGGGGTGTCCAACCTTGGCAACTTTAAGACTTGTGGACTTCAACTCCCAGAATTCTGGGAGTTGAAGTCCACAAGTCTTAAAGTTGCCAAGGTTGGACACCCCTGGACTAGAAGACTTCCAAGGTCTTCTAGACCTCCAAAGTCCCTTCCAACTCTGCTATTCTATATTCTGTAAATGTTACAGGAGATATTTCTCATGTCTAGTAAAAGTATGAAGGAAAATGTATAGGAAGCCATTGCTGCCACCCTATATTACCATTTATAGCCAGATCTCTTCTTTCCATTGCTCAGTTGATTCTTTCATTGTAGGGTGACAGAATCGGAAAGGCCATTCAAGTGACCAACTGCAACCTCTTTTTAATGCAGTAATTCAAAAATTACAAGAGAGCTTGTAACAGAAAGCTGTGTACCTTTTGCTTGAACACATTCAAGAAGGTCTACCATCTCATTCCAGGTGACTATGGCACTATGGGACTGGACATAGGAGGATTTTTATTTCAGCTGGACAATTACACAATTGTTCTTCCTAAAGAGAGAAGAGCATATCTATTGCAATGGAGTGGGGGAAACAAGAGAGGTTATACTAGAGGTTTATTTATTTTTTTAATAAACTAAGATGGCTTGCTAAAAAGCTCATGTTAGACAAGGGAATATTTACTGGGCATTACAGCATCCCTACCTTTATTTCCTTTTTTCTTTCTTATGCATAAATTAAATGATTTTGCAACTGACTTTCCTGATCCTGCAACCCACAATCTTTCTTCTGATGCAAATGCTTCTGATTTCCAACCCTTCCAGACAAGGGTTGTGCTACCACAAGTTACCTCAGAGTTTCTTTTATCTGTTACCCATAATTCCCTAAAGTGAACAAAAATAATATCTCTGAAACACACACAGACACCTTGCAGGAAAGCAGTTAAAAGAAATGTAGAGTATCTTTTCACTCAAACTGTCATGTAATATCTCCACATAATGTTTCATGGCACATGACAGGAAGGATATGACACGTCTTATCACTCGTCAAAAAAGACAACTGTGTCAAGCTAACTTTGCAATTGGATGCGGGGGACAGGGATTTTGCATGATTTATAGTTTAAAAAAAATAACCCACTTTAAAAAAAAAAAGGCTTGTTATTAAGTTAAGTATGGAGAAGGTTATATTATACTTCAGACGTAATTTAACATTTAGGTCGTATTTTTAAGAATGCTTTTGTGACCATACCATTCTCTCCTCATTTCTTTGAATAGTTTTTCTTTGTTTCTACAGTCTGTTCTTAAAATCCTGTTCTATAAAGAGAGTGATGAACTATTTGGAAAATGTAAGTAAGCTAATGCATTTTCACACACACACACACACACACACACACACAGAGACGCACACAATTCAAGCATTAAATAATACTGTAACATTCTGGCATATATCAAGTAAAATAGGGAGAATGTTTCTCTTTCTCTCATCTCCCAAAACTTTTTTTTATTGTATTTAAGAACCAGTTTTAGGATTCCTCATTTTTTCTTTTTTTGAGTTTCGCCAAAGTCGATGTTGTTACATCCGATACAAACACACATGTGGTGCGGCAAAATCTTTAGCTTTTGGTAGAGGCTGCCCCTAAGAAATACTATTCAACAGAGTCTGTGCCTGTCACCGCTTCCCGTCACATGCCTGGTAATTAAACTCTGACTGATTTATTGACTGACAGCCAACAAATCCCAACCCAGTTTTTCTGATATACATACTTCCCCAGGCAAAATTCACTACAACAACAGCCCAGCTGAAAGAAAAGAGTAAGGTTGAGGGAAAAAAAGAAAGACAAAGAGTGACTGGTGGCAAATCAACATACATTTTCAAAAATCTGGTTTTAGTAGATGAAGGAAATAGATTTGGGGATTTTTTTAAAAAAAGCAGGGAAGAATGTTGTCAGATGAACATCTCTTTCAAAGCTAGGCTTTGAAAGAAAGGAGAGGAAAAAATAAGTAGCAAACATTATTACTTCAGCTTTAAGATTCATTTGAAACGGCTCACGTACAAAAGATCTCTGAAGAGGAAAACAAGACGTGCTCGCAGCTAATATTATAGTCAAGTTCCAATTTTACCTAAGGGAAAGCAGCTTTATTAAAAGTCATGACTGAAATTGCATGACAGGTGCCAATATTCTCCACCCTGACAGATGTGTCAGTTTGCAAATGCCATTTTCTTGTCAGCAGTCCCTAGATGGAGTTGCTCCTATCACCATTTGTCTCTCTTCCAGCGAGATCACACATGCCCGTTGCCTGCCTCCGAGCTGCACGGCATTGTTTGATATGTGGAATCCTCACAATGAGACTTATTAAAAGACAGTCCATTATTTTTATTTAGAGCATCTCCAAAACAACCAGAGCGGTGCGTCGCATAAGAGATAATTTTAAAAAATTGTGTGACAGGTCATCTTCGGGCCAGCTCAACTCAATTTGAAATGCATAAGGAAATAGAGCTACCCACCCACACTGCAGAGCAGTTCATAATGAGCGTGATTTGAATGACATTTAACCCTTGAATAATGGCTTTGAAAGCTGAAAGTACTGTACTGCAGTATCAGAGGCAGAGGTGGTATTCAGCATGAAAAATGGATTCTGCCCCATTTTTTCCTAAATCTTTGTTCACCTTGCATTCTCTTACTTTGTTACAGGTGGGGTTGCTCGGTGCAGCAGTAAAAGATAAAATACTCCTGATCGGCTGTATTTATGGACCCCTTTCCCTCCTCCCGTCAGTTTCAAACACAAAAGACAAATGGTGTCTCTCGATCATTGCTTGTACCAGAAGCAGGTAAAGCTGAACTCTCTCCAACCATGGATGGGAAATTATTACAGATAAAATTATTCTTTTTTTTTTATAAGAATGGCAATTGGAAAGCTTCATTCTTAAAAATGCTTGCAGGGACACTTGCCAAGAGTCATGGTATCAGGGCAAAAAAACCAGCAGGACCTTAAACATAGTCCTATACCAAGATTTCTGGGTTTTTTAAAAAAATAATTATTATTTAAACAGCATCACTGCTAGTCTTTATTTCACCAAGGTTTACAATAAAAGGAGATAGAATAGCACATATCAAAGCATGTATGGTACATAATTATATGTATAAAATCATGTAAGTCCAACTTGCCAATATAAACATAATCATATCTCTGCCACTGATAATTCCTCTTCCAACTTGATGAACATGGAGGTTTTAGCAGAGGAGTGATGGCCATAGATCCCACATTTTGCATCATAATCAAATAAATTTAATTGGACCTGCACATTAGACAATGCAAGGCAATTGCATTAGAGAGTAGATAGAAGAGAACTGTTTGGTATGTGGAATCCTTAAGATCAAGTTGTTTGGAGAAATAAACTGTGGATGTTATTACACCTGTGCAGCACCTCATAAGGTACCTATTATGCTCAGGTATCATTAAGGACATTTCCCCATTGGCAGCATTGAAGCAAGACTAAACAATTGCAACAGTTCACCAGCTTCAGAAGCCACACTATGCACTGCTCAAAGTAATCCTGAACACATTTGTCTAAAATAAATCCACAAAGTGATACTTTCTCAAAATTAATAAGTTTGGAAGTGACAGGGATCCATTCTAAAAATCCTGACACTCATATTCAGTACTTTTACTCTGATGTGAATATACGTATCCCAACAAAAGCATTTTGATAAAGATTTAGGACCTGTTAGAAACCACCAGGAATTTTATTTTCCTTACTTCAAACTGAAACATACTACGTACTGTTCTGTTCTGAGAACAAGGTATGAGAACGGAGGCGAGGCGAGGTAAGTATAACGTTTTATTAACAACAACAGTTAACATTAGACCCGCTCGGTGCTGAGGACCTCGGAGAGCGGGCCGCTTCTGAGGCGCTGACAGCTCGTAAATATGCAGAGCTATCAGTGGCTGGGCCAATCAGGACGTGCCCATTTCCCGCCGGCTGGCAGACATCAATCGAGCCAATCTGCTGCTCTGTCCTCGTCACGTGTGCGGCGTCCAGACGCAACACGTACACTTGGACTGTCTAAGTCTAATTTGACTTGATTGAGATCAAGGTCAGACCCATCTCTATCTATTAGGGAATATTTAATGTTCTTGCTCTATTATTTATTGTCCATATAAGAGACCAAGAATAACTAGAGAACCTTTCAGGGACCCGATTGTCCAACATTAATGCAGAAGAAAGGTTAGTTTCATTGCAAAGCCTACTGTATAAATTGGTTCCTTAACCTCTTTGTTTTTACACATTGTTTCTGAAAGATTTATCCCCAAATTATTCAGAGGAGGGAAGGAAGGAAAGAAAGAAGAAAGACAGGAAGGAAGGAACCTAGATAGGGTTTTTCTCAGACTATGTGTTAGGAACCTGAGGGAATTGCTAGACAGAGTAAGTTCCTTGTAGATCCTTTCTGAGCAGCTTTACCAGTCTGATGCAAAAGTATGCTGAATACAAAGCAACATGATTGTTCCAAAACCCTGTATGAAAGTAAAATGTGCAAGCTGGACCATTTGCAAAAGCCATTTCAATGATTTGTCTATGAGAACACCACGGACCAGATAAACACTGTCTACTATCCTGTCATATGATTTTGCAGAAGTACAGACTGTACTTGCACTTGATAACATGAGGCTGCAAAACATCTGGAAGAAATAAAAAGGTGTTCTTTTTTGCATACACAGAGTATCACATGAGTGGGAGTAAGAGGTTGAAATAAGTAAGAAAGTAGTAGGAAGAGAGTTAGCCTGAAAAAGGATGGGGAAAGGACAGTAAGCAAAGTTGAATTTAGACTGGTTGAAGATATACGTGCTCCTAGGTGATGACATATCACTGAAGAAGGGCCAGGATAGAGGTCACTATGCAGGGAATGTGTGACCTGGGATCATGTCTACTTGGCACAGTTTCCAAAGAGAAAGAAGATAGTGCAAATATCAAAGTTATGCTAACTATGAGACATTGCCAGATAACTGTACAAAGCCTTTGATTAACAGTATGAGAAAATTTATTAATAACTATATGCATACAAAGATAGGCTTGACACAGCAAGAAAAGTAGGAAAAATGTAGATTTGCTCATCCTGAAAGCCATTTGCCCAATTTCTCCCAAGTTTTTAATAGGCACTTTCAGGAAAATTCCAAGAATTCTAAAAATTAAAGCTGTCCTCGACTGGTGAAAATATTGACTCTCAATTTGTCAACTCTCCATTGGCTGTCATTTCTTTTCAGTAGCATGTCTTTATGACATATCTGGTTTGTTCCTTCTTCTAGTGTTCATATATTACTGTAGTTAGAGTCGTTAATAACTAAAAGTAATCATAAAGTCAACATACTGGATGCAAACAAATCTCTTGTGACAAAGAGGTTTTTTTTATTTTATTTATTTTTTATTTATTTATTTTAATTTGATTTATATGCCGCCCTTCTCCAGAGACTCAGGGCAGCTTACAATGCGTTAAGCATTGTAGTTTGATAATTTAATGTGGCCACAGAGACAATCCTTTCTTGTCTGTAGTAATTATGCATCCAATCCAAGGTAGGTAAAATGAGGACCCAGACTGTGGGGGCAATAAGCTGACTTTGTATAAATATACAAAAATATGAAGGCTATTGCTTAATGCATTGTAAGCCGCCCTGAGTCCCCGGGGCCACATTTGCCCACTAACTAACTTCCAACTAACTTCTCCTGCTCAAGCCTATTTAGTATTCTTTTATTAGTAACTAAAGATGGGTATGGCATTTTTAAAACTTTTGTCACTCCTAACTGTGTTTTCTTCCTAATAAAGTTTATGTCTTTGAATATGTAAAATAGGGTACTTTTTCTATCCTAACAACACAATTAAGAGTAAAATGGTAGGGAGTAAAAGAATTGTTTTTCCTGAAGAAAATATGATGATTCTGGATATTAGGTTTCTAAAAGCAGGTTACTGAGCATGGCTGACTTTAGTTGACCTCAAAAAGAGCTGTGCAGGTTAGTATTTAGAAGACTAATGGGAAATTATACTGATACTGTACTACCTAGGGCTAAGAAATTGGGACAAAAATATCCCAGAAAAAAAGCAATAATAAACAATTTACTTATTGTTGCTTACAAAATGACATGGATCTGTCCATAAAGTCCAAGACAGGTTAGCAATAGGCTGTGATGCTTCTTTTCATGAAGTAGTAGTTGATGTTATTTAATATTGATTTATTAAACAATCCAGAAATAAATGAGGAATAGGATCTAAACTTCACAGGTTAATGATCCTTAAGTTACTCCTTTCTCAGTGCAGAGGAGTCACTATAGACTGGTTCTCACAGTCAGGTCAGGGAACATAACAGAGTGTCAAATACATTTTTGTATCTCTAGTTGTAACAGCTTTGTGTTCTGAGGTACCATTGCTGCTAATGTCATTGTAGATGACAAGGACAAGATGAGAACAGGGCCAGTCTTAGCATTATCTCATGTCTCTCCCTCAAGCAATGTCAATAGAATATTGTAGCCCTTAAAACTATCATCATCACTATCATCCCATAATACAATAATAAACCTATAAGGTTGTTCTATTGTTGGTGTGTTTGTTTTTAGCTGTGCCTCTAATGTCTTGAAACTCTAAATGGTGGTGATATACATAATCAACCATACTAAATGAATAAAGGTTCAGTTAGTAGGATTACAAAGGCAAATGTTATAACTCAGTAACTTAGAACTAAGTGCTGAGTGCTAATTTAGGACTAAGTGCTGTTATGTAGCACTTAGCTTCCAGCTACCTGCAATTAGTGTGAGTTCAAATCTCACCAGGCTCAAGATTGACTCAGTCTTCCATCCTTCTGAGGTAGGTAAATTGAGGACCCGGATTGTGGGGGCAATAAGCTGACTTTGTAGAAACACCGCTTATGGGGGGGGGCAAAAGCCCTAATAAGCAGGTATATACAAAAGAATGAAGGCTATTGCTATAAGTGCATTGTAAGCCACCCTGAGTCTTCGGAGAAGGGCAGAATATAAATTGAACTAATAAATAAATAAACTAAGGAGTGATACTGGAGAATTTTAATATGATTGATGCAACATTCAGAAATATTGTTAAACAAAAATATTACGGCCTAGGAATATGTTTCTAGAAATAGTGTTCCATATCAACTACCCATTCATAGTTATTTTCCTTTCAGTGACCACACACATATAATTGACTCAGAAGTAATTTTCAAAGAAATGAAGCTAAATACAGGTAATTTGAACCAATACAGCTCACATTAGTTTCTTCTGACCCATAATTCTTGGATACACAATTTTATTTCTTTTAAACCATTTATTATCTATTTCTTCCTGTCATTTTATTTCATTATAAAACTACTCTACAGTACATATGAAAAGTTTTATCAATATACCAAATGTATTTTGTAACACAGATAACATTATTAAATACAGAAGGACTTGGGGAAAACAGAATGTTATAAAAACAACTTTCAAGAACTTCTCTTAATCTGACAAAATATATTGATTTACGACTTCCTTTTGAAAGCTTTACCACTTATTAAAACCTAGAATAATTAAAGGACCTGAAACCTACATTTTTTTTGTTTGCTTCGGTTATTTCTTATGATACTGTACTGATAATCATCACATTACCTAATTGTATGATATTTGTATGAAACTAAGTACCATTGATTCTAGTAGGAGTTAAAGACATGTGTTTCCCAACATAAGTGGAAGGCACCAGGTTACAGAAGAAATATGAGGTGTGTTGGCAGAGTGCCTACAGAGTTTCTCTTTCTCTTCATCAAGGCTTCCTCCTTTGTCAGCATGGAGGATAACCCTCCCCAGGAAGGACACACAGAGAATTCCCTGCTCACCAATCTTTGATGATGAACTGGCTTTTCCCAAAGTTGCTGACCCACTTATCACCTTTCCTGGAACCTGAAGACAGAACTGGCCACAAAGAACTATCAGAGGCACCAGAGGAGGTGAAGGGGATATTGGGAGTTAAGACTCAGCTCTTTGTTAGCTGCTGTTCTTGAGAGGTCCCAGCATTTGTATTCTCATCCAAAACCAGAATCAATCACAGAACACACAAGCAGACCCTCACACACATACAGATGCACATACACACCTGCTATATGACTTACATTCCAAATGACTCATTAGATAGAAGCCTGTTTCCTTTCTGCCTTACTTTAGTGTCATACTGAATACCATGATGTATTATGGATTATAATCATTATGTTTCTTTTGGTACTCTGGTGTGTGTTCCTGTTTTCTTCTGGCCTGGTTTATTTCAAGACAGCCGTATCAGCACATACTCTTCCTTGCTAAGAAAACACAGCACAGGGGTAGGCCTCAAAGTAGGTGGAAGACTGGGAGAGGAGAGAGTCCTTATATAAATTAACTGCTCCTTTCCCGCACACTTTTTTTCTGTTGTCATTCACACATTGCTTATTAATTAAAAGAGTGGAGCTAGACAAGGCAATGCAAACATTCACTGCTGTTTACTAACCAGCCAAACAGAGCTCAAGACAGCTAAAACCCAACAGAAGGGATGTGCTTTTCTGTCTGTCTGCCTGCCTGCCTGCCTATCTGTCCATTTGCCTGTCTTTTACATTTTCCTGGTCTGAAGTCAGGCTGTGTTCCTGCACAAAGCAGGTGTACATAAGAGAGCCATTTTTACATCAGGCACAAAAATGGATGGAAGGGCACATTCAACAGTCCACATAAGATACCGAAAATGAGTGGGGGGGCAATATTCTTACAATGATCTATATAAGAAATGTCTCTCAATGAGCCATATTTTCCATGGCTTGACAGAAGCCCTGTAGATAATTTGTGGATATCTAGACAGAAACGTTAAGAACACTTGAGTTTTTTAACACCTTTTTCTGATTCTTTCTTTCTGTAAAAAATCTATGGGGTCTTTATATCCAACAAAATAACACGTTCGGCAGCAAGTGGCTGTAAACAAGTTTCACCTCCCAATTTACTTCAGGCTTGTCACTTCCCATCTCAGAGAATAACTAAGTTTATAAAGATCCCCAGGCTTCTGGCCTTCTTAATCATGATAACTCTTATCAGAGTCCCAAATCTCTGAAGCAGCACATTTTTCTTGTCCTCCCCCAGGAAAGACTGGTGTTTATAAGGCCATCTGTCGTAATTCTGTCAATTACCCTTTGGTGGACTGAGGCCATCGTGCCGTACAACCACCAAAGGGGTCAATCTGAAGGATTTATTCCTAGGGCCTTGAAGTTTTGGTGTACAGCTTTAACTTTCGACTAGAAAAAACATGACATCTCCCTCCTTTCTGATCCATTTGGGCATCACCTTATTCTACCATCATAATTCAGAATATAGAATCTCATTGTCCTTTAAAGTTCTAAACAACTCAGGAAGGTTTCAATTACTTCAACTATAATAAGATTATTGCAATTAAGAAGTCATGAATTTGCATGGAAATGGAGCTGAAGAAGATCTTTCCAGATGTAAACCAGGCAATGATTAGGAGGATATCTCTGTACTGGGGATCACTGCTTCGCTACCAAAGTGAGATTGCAACCATCCAATTATTATTATTATTTCACCCTAAATTATGACATAGTTGTAATAATATTGATTGCTTTATTTATACATTATCTTGAATGTAGCAATAAAAGGTAGCATAAATACTTTATTTCTCTATTTTCATTGTAATGTAGGATTTTTTAAAAAAATCTTAATTTTGCTATTTTATTTTCTGTTTTTTGTTTTACTGTGTTCTGGTCATCTCTATAACTGAATTTTTACAAGTAGTCCTCAACTTACTAACACAATTAAGCCCAAAATTTCTGTGGCTAAGCGAGAAATTTGTTAAATGAGTTTTGACCCATTTTATGACCTTTCTTGCCATATTTGTTAAGTGAATCAGTGCAATTGTTAAATTAGTAACATGGAAGTGAATCTGGCTTCCCCATTGACTTTGCTTGTCCAAAGGCCGCAAAAGGAGATCACATAACCCCGGGACATTGCAACCATCATAAATATGAGTCATTTGCCAAGCGTCTGAATTTTGATCACATGACCACAGGGATGCTGCAATGGTCATAAGTCTGAAAAACAGTTATAAGTTACTTTTTTTCAGTTCCATTGTAACTTTGAATGGTCTCTAAATGAACTGTTATAAGTCAAGGACTACCTGTACTTTATTGTTTTATAGCTTGTGTATTTTTAGCTGTTTAAGGTTTATTTTAAGTTGCTGGTTTCAGTTTAATTTGTTTAAAAAATATTAATTTTAGTCACTTTGGGAAACCATGGGGTTTTTTGGGTGTGTGTGTATATTAGATAAAATTTACACTGTTCAAACTTTTGGCTTTGGGATATTCAGGTTGATTTCTGATCTGGGGGTCTCTTTTCATGGAATTTCTCCTTTGAGAAACATTGGCAAGACCACATTGTAATCACATACTCAATTCAGAAAGCACAGCAGGAAAGGCCAGACTTCTCTGAAGATGCCTGTGATGGTGTGAAGATGCTCAGTATTTTAAATGTTAGAGAAAAGAATATTCGGCTCTCTCCTACAATGGATAATCCCAACCTTCTCCTTCTCTTCAGTTCTCATCTATTCTTCCAGCAGTGGGTTGGAATTCTAACAGAAGCTTCCAATTCCTTTCAAAGCAGAATCTGAGGTGCAATTTTTTTGCTATTTTATGTTACACCATCCTTTCCTCAGAATGGTGTCCTTTGAGGACTTACACTTCTTTCTGCTGCCAAGAACATTGCTGGCAGTTACTTTCCGTAAACATAATTTGGCTCTTCCCTGCAAATGAAAGGTACCACGACTCCATTCCCAGCTCCTTCTCTAAAAAAGCTGTGAGGAGGAATGATATATTTTAGGAAAAATAAATACCGAAGACAGACAAGCAGGAGACAGAAGGTAAGGATGGATGGAAGGCAAAAACATGCCTAGAATCAGTGCCAGCTCCAGAGTATATAGGGTGCCTCTAGGCTACGTAGACTCATCGTGCCACCTCCCACCCTTGCAAAGATTTGAATTTTTTGAATAATTTAGAAGGAGGGGTGGCATGCCGGGATAATTTATGAAGCTAGGAATGAAAAGGTGCTGCTGAGATTAATAGAAATGATGGAATATACTGAATGTCCCTGAAATATTGCCTTTGGATCTAGTTTTTCTAAATGTTTTCCTTTACAGCAATCACTTCCAGGAAGTGGTCTTATCTTCAGCAACCCTCTAAACTCTGATTTCCCCTGAAGCCAGCGGTGGGTTCCACATATTCTTACTACCGGTTTGCCACGTGTGTGCATGCTTGCTTCGTACACATGTGACCTTCTGCACATGCAGTTTGCTCACATGCGTGCCTTCTGTGCATGCGCCCAACTTCAAAAATGTGGCTAAATAGGACGACATTATGTCCGGGCGAGTGGGCAAACCACCTGCAGTCGCTGCTACCGGTTTGCCCAAACTGGTACGAACCGGCTGAATACCTCTGGTCTCGTAAGTGTTCCAAATCAGAATACATGTTATGGAAAAACAAAATAAAAGAAAGGAAATTCAGCTCACCTGACTTAACTATCACTCAGCTAAAATTCATGTCCCCTCAGTTCAAAGAAAGCACTACAAAACCTCTTCCAACACCAGCTGTTTCTCTGAGAGAAAACTCATCTTCAGATTTATTGGAAAGTAAATTTAATGGTTTTTAAATTATTTAGTCATTGTAAGGCTTTAGAATTTAACATTGTCAACAATCAGCCTCCACCTATATGGTTACTTGAGGTCATCTTTTCTTCTTTTACAATATAGCCAATGCTTTCATATTCAGGATCCTTTTCTAGAGGGACATCCAGAGGGACGCCAATCTGGGAATGGGATTAATTCCTTCTGTTTCCACAATAGTCTAGAGCAGGGGTGTCAAACTCAAGGCCCGGAGGCTGGATGTGGCCTGTGGGGTGTTTAGATCTGGCCCGTGGGGTCACCCTGGAAACAGCAAAGAACCGGTTGGTGGTGCCTCTGCCAGTGAAAATGGAGTTTGCAAGGGCTGCAGACGGACCTTGTGAGCTCCTGTTTTCACTGGGAGAGGGTTGCAGGAGGCTGTTGCAGCTGAAAACTGAGCTCCCGAGGGACAGAGGTGGCCCTCCCAAGCTTTGTTTTCGCTGGCAGAGGGTTGCAGGAGGTCGTTGCAGGTGAAAATGGAGCTTGGGAGCCCGTTTTTGCTGGCAGAGTGTCTGGGCCACCAAAGGCACTCCCGACACGAGTGATGTTGAACTGGCCATACCCACTCTGACTACGCCCACCCCAGCCCCCCAAGGCCAAACACAACCATGATGCAATCTCAATGAAACCAAGTTTGACACCCCTGGTCTACAGTTTCTATGGGTTTTGGGAAGGTGAGCTGATTAAGTTTAGCTCAGCTGTTCCTCCAAAGGAAATCTGCTTTCTTATCCTAATCAAACGTGATGTTGAAATGTTGCTCTAGCATGCCAACAAGGTTGAAATTTCTTTACCAAAGAAAGCCTGTGATCCTACGTTTTTAGGATGTAAGTCAGTGGTGAAATCTGAACCAATTTGCTACCGGTTCGCTGGCCACGCATGCGCACTGCATGCCAAGTGCATGCTGCATGCATTCATGCACAGTGCATGCCAAAAGGAGGCTTGTGAAGGTAAGTAGAACAGTGAGGGAGGGAATCAGCTGTGCCGCACGATTTAGCTTCTCTAGAATTCAGGATTTCCTGCTTTCTAGCAAAGCTAAACCCAACGGCACAGCTGATCGTCAGAAATACCAGTTCAGAGGAGAGGTAGCTTTTTTTAACTATCAGTTCAATTGAACTGGTAGCTAACTACTGGTTTGATTGAACTGGTAGCTTTTTAAACTACCGGTTCAACTGAACCAGTAGCTTTTTTTTACTACCGGTTCGCCCAAACCGGTAGTTTTTATAACTACCGGTTTTCCCGAACCAGAGCAAACCGGTAGCATTTCACCCCTGATGTAAGTGCATTAGAAATATTCTAATTCTAATTTCTATTCTAATTTCTATTCTAATATTCTACCCTACCCTACCCTATTCTACTCTACTCTATTCTCTATAAATATTATGGCAACCTCTAAAATGGTCTGATACTGAGTTTTAATTATAGGCTATGGTCATATATGTTTATAATATGATAAAAAAAAAATCCCAGAGTATGGTTGCACATTTTAAAAAGATATTTTATCTGCTGCTAATTGTTTGGATATGTCTTCCTTTTCTATCCAGTATCACACATCTTTCCATGCATTTAAGAGAGGTGTGAAAATTTATCTTCCTCATAATCTACATTGATTGGTGGAAGCAACTGTGAGTAAACATTGAGAATGGGGGTGAGTAAAATTAGATGGTAGTTTTACCTTGGTGCAAATCTTATTACTATCGGCACATAGCTAGGTGTTAGGTTGTAAATGTAAGGTTTCATATTTGTATAA